GGGTTCGCATGTGAATCATTTGGTTTGGGTTCACTCGCCCAGCCTACAGTCAACCCGTACAGCAAGGATGGACAATTTTCCCAAGGTTACGCCTTGCATCCTTGCCTTCTCGGTCCATCCTTGGCAACTCTCGTTGGCCGCGCCCCACTCGAAAAGCTTCGAAACGGCCTTGCAAGGCCCTTGCATCCTTATCGTGCGCCCTAATGATTTAGTCGACTGTAGGGTCTGCGCCCCAGGAAGGCCGTGGGCAAAACTGGGGAGTGGTTCGGGGACCCCCAAACAGTGCGGTGACCGCAACTGTGCGGTGAGTCAGTGGTGATGCGTGGTGGCCGCACGGTTTTGGGACGCAGTCTTGGGCAGATTTGGCGAGAATTACTGGAGGGTTGGGAACCACGTGGGGCCGATTCCCCATCCCCGCTCTCCGCTGACCTGAGCTTCTGGGCTCCGCAACAGGGCCGTGGCCGACCCAGCTTCGGGCCTACTTTGGCTAGTGCGTCACCAATGAGGAAGGAAAGCTTGCAGGACCCGGAGGGCCTGGTCGACGGCCGGCGAAATCCGAACCCTACCCTCGCCGATCAACGAGTCCGGCAACTCGATGGGCTGCGGGTGGTAGGGTTTAGAGATTCTCCGACTGCGTGGCACAGTCCCAACCCTGCCCCCGCCTCCCATCGATCTAGGAGAACCAATGGCTGGTTGGGGTAATTAGGGTAGGGTAGGGTTCGGATATCGCCACCTAGAGGAAGGAAAGCGCGCTGCGGGCAAGAATTGCGTCGGGCTCCCTTCCCCAGAACCCCGAGGCGCACGGGATATGAATAAGAATTTGGCCCCTATAAAATTTCGATGCTTGTCCATATCCGATTCGCCTCTGCCTTGCGTTGCCCCTTCCAAGAAAGTCCAAGACACACTGGATATGGATATACATCTTGCCCGCACGCGCTGGACCCTGGAGGAGGGGGCGGATCCCGAAGAGCGCGTTGGGTTTGGGCGCGCAGAAGGCGCGCGGCGCGGCCGGAGGCGAGGCGCCTTCTGGGGAGAGCCCCGCCGTCGCCGTCGCGCGTTTTCTTTTGTTGGTTCTCCAGACTGTCCCGGGGATCCTTCCCGCCTTGCCCCGCCACTCTCTCGGGGGCTCCCAAGTGGGGTGGTGACCACATCGTGCGGTGAGTCGGTGGGGCTTCGGGGTCACCGCACGGTTTTGGGACTCAGGCCGTTCTTCGAGGACGTTTTGGGCGGCTGGGGCCTCCGAGGTCCCAAAACCGTGTGGTGACGGACCCTGCGGTGAGGTCTGTGGATTTCGAGGTCACCGCCGGGTCTGTCACCACACGGTGTTGGGACCCCCAATTCTCCCTCGACGTTTTTTGCGTTCAGCGGACATTAAGGGCTGTGCTTGCTGCGTCCTGTGTGTGCGAGAGGCCTCAAGGTATAAAACACCGAAGACTCAGGCCCGTGAGAACAGATTCAGGCAGCTGCCAGTGCGGAAGCAAGAAGTGCAAATATAAAATATAAGCGGTAAAAGAGAAGGTCCCCATGAGGGCGCAGAGTAATCCAGCATGCTGCCATTGGGATAAGGGGGAGACGTGCCAATTCACCAAATAACGCAACAAGCTGAGAAACACAAGGGTCAGCTAACGAGAGGAAACGAAGAACACGTGCTTAGTAGCTTAGGGCCGTGGCGGATCCCAGTAGGCGTCGCCTGATTTGAAAGCAACGCAGCTCTGAACCTCCCTCCCCCTCGCATAAGTTCCTTTCACAGAGCCGCCGCCCTCAGAAATCAGGGTAAACTGTAAAAAGTAATGCGCAGTGTGGCACAGAAACAAACAGAACAGGCGACGATTCAGAAGGTAAACAGTTGGGCGAGTCTGTATATGCTAGATCAGGTTGCTGTTGTGGGTAGTCCACAGTAGGACAGTGGGACTTGTCCTGGGTGCTCGTCCCCTACCGACGTGCCAAGTGGCAATGCATAGCAAATATTAGTATCACAGAAATGCGAGTAGAGGAAAGCGTTGATCACCTGTAAAGAGGCTGGCTCATACGTAATGACGGTGCTGAGGGCTGGCACCCGCGAAATGAGTGTTCCAGACGGTCTAGCTGGCTGTGTGTGAGATTAGCGCAGCCGGCATTGTTTGGCCTACAGCTTGGAAGTTTAAAGTTGTCTCGCATAGTAAACATCTTTGTAACGAGGCTGGCGCATGCGTAATGGCTGGCGTAAGCTGTGTACTCCTGTTGTCGCTGGCGTAGGCGGTACTGGCTGGCCCTTCTGGGTGAACCATTGGGCGTGATGCGTGCGATGGTAATGGCAGCAGCTGCACGGAGACGTGTAGGGCATAATAGAGGTTGTAAGGCGGGGGTAAGTTGCAAAGTGGCGGTGGTGCAGCGGGCGATGTGCCTTGTTATGCACGTGCTTGGAACAATCTGTCTGCCCACCTCATCCCCAGCAAGCTCCCTCCAGTCACGTAATTCACTCTCCCTTAGTATTAAGGCTTGCCAGGCCGAAGGTCGGCCTATGTAGGAGTCCTTGGTAAAGCGCCAGCTTCGTAAGAGTGGCTGCGTAGTGCTCTACCCAACGATTAGGGAGGACCGAAGGTTCTCCTCATCCCAGCCTCCATTCTCACACATTCCAAGTCCCATCCCCACAGTAGAGTCAGTTGAAGAAAGAGGCGACGGCTTGCAGCTGGTAGATATTGGTGGCCATTGTCTCGGTACTGAGCTTTGCTGAGCTACGCTGAGGCAAGCATTATGCGACATGGCTGGCCTAAGCTGGTGGCGATACTATGTTAAGTTTAATACATAGTTTGTGGACTGCGGCTGTCAGTACGCTGATGTGCTCCCCCCACCTCCCCACGCATCCCCATGTCCAAAAAGATGAGGCGCAGTGATTAAACTCACAGGGAGCAGTAGACCAGCAACTGAATAGGCTTGCTCTGGTCGTGACCTCTGAATGGCACAATCAGCTTACAGCATAATTGTGATGGTAGAAAAGGCTCTCGTAGCAATTATTGGGCTACTACGCAGGGTTTAAAGGTTAACACGTGACCTCGTTGGTGATGGGGGCCCAGACCAGAAGTAAGGCGTAAAGTTGGTCTCAAGTTCGTGAGAGGATAGAGGAGAAGACTTCACTGGACCTCATACCGAAAGGGGACGCGGAGTGCAAACTCCTTTGAGTTGAGGTGACACGATTCTGGTTAGTAAATCATTAACTGAAGTTAATGTAGAAGTTGACGAACAGGAGGTAGTAAACCCCAGTATGGCCTTTCTTCATTGTGCGCCGGGAACCTTGGCTTTGGTGTAGGGTGCGAGTTGTACTCTGCCGTCGGACAGTTGGATTTGGGCATAGGTAGAGCTCTGAGCGCCATAGTGGCACCATCGCGGTGTTGAGTATACGGGTGTCGTGAGTTGGCTAAGTCAACGTGTGCGAACTATTGTGGTAGCGCTGCTTGAGGTCGCGAATTGTATCCAGGTAGTGTAGTAGTCCTGGGCCATTGGCGTCGTCCACATGCCGTGTGTCACACAATCCATTGAATACAGGCACTGGTGTAGAGCCAGTTTGACCGTCGAGCATGGTCGGTGGAGCCTTTGGGCGGAAGTAGGCTTTTTTAGTCGCCTGTGTTTGTGGCGTGCGTATCCTTGGTGGGAAGTCTGCAAACCACCGTTGTGCAGTTGCCGCTTTAGGTGGTGGGCAGATCACTGGGATCTCGAGCTGCGGTGGTGGTGGGGCACGTATGGGGCTGCGGATGGCCCTATTGCCGGTCGTGGCCTGTGGTATTGGAGTCGGTGTGTTGGTTGGGTGCAGGTTGGTCGTAGGCATGTCTACTGGTTGGTCCGTTTGTGTATCCTGGAGTGACGGTGGTGGCTTTGTGTAGGATTGACCGTTGCTGTCGTGGGAAGGTGTTGGCGTTGGTGCGTCGGTGAAGCCGACGGGTATGTCGTGGTGGCCGTAGGTGCCTTGTAGTGAGTCTGCCGTCTCATGTACCAGTCGCCAGTCTAGCAGTCTGGCAGGGGATGAGCCATCGCGAGACCGTAGCTATCGCTCTGGTAGTTCGGGCATCACTTGCAGTCGAGGCGTGTTGATCTTGCCGTTGGTGTGCTCGTTTGAGGGTACGCCTGCTGATCTGAAGTTCCCTCCCTGTTCCTGAGATAGCGCCGTTTCGTAGAGCGATGTGCCCAGTGGATGCTTTTGGTGCTTCTGCTAGTCTGGGGAGTGGTGGTGGTGGGTACGTGTCAGCGTGGATGGCGTCCTCGAGCAGAGAGTGTGCGGGTGGCTTGACGCCCCCCCTTTTCCTCCCAAGTTCTCCTCGTTCTCCTCCTCCTCCTGCTCCTTCTCCTCCTCCTCATCCTCCTCCAACCTCCTCCTCCTCGTCCTCCTTCGTCGTCCTCCTCCTCCTCCCTCGCCCGCTCCTGCCCCTCACCTCGGCCCGGCCTTTTGCCTTCCCAACCTCGCTGCCCCTCCCTCCCTCCTCCCTGCCTCCCTCCCTCCTCCATCCCTCCTCCATCCCTCCTCTCGCCCTCCCTCTCGTCCTCCCTCCTCCCTCCTCCCTCCCTCCCTCTCTTCCTCCGTCCCTCCTCCCCGTCTCCCTCCCTCCTCCCTCGCTCCCTCCCTCCTCCCGCTCCTCCCTCCCCTCCCTCCCTCCTCCCTCCACCGTCTCCCTCCGCGTCCCCGAGCGACTCCCGGAGAACAGCGCGCGCGCCGTGCGCGCGCGGGCCCTCGAACTCTCCCCCCCCCCAAAGAAGAGGATAATCCCGTTCTGGAGCACCTCCAGTGTCGGCCACGCGCAGAAGGGGGGCTCATGGGGGGAGGGGGGCTTCTCGGCAGCGCCCCTGCTTCTCGGAGGGCGCGGGCCTCGCCCATCGAGGGAGGCCCCGCGCCGTCTCAGGGCCAGCCTGCTCCTGACGAGCCTTCCCCCCTTCCCCGTCCCCCCCCCCCTCTGCGCGCCGCCGGGTGGATGCTGCCTCCCCCCCCTCCCCCCCGCGCGCGGCGCGCCGCGCGCCCGGCGGGTGCGGGGCAGACGATCGGCACGATCCCCGACGCCTGGCCCAAGGAGTGCAACACCTGTGGCCGCATCTGCGTGCACCCCGCGGGCGGGCGAGGGGGGTCGCAGGCTTGCGGGAGGGGGAGGTGATCACGGCAGGCTCGTGCCGCGTCGACTTGCAGCGACTCCACTGCCAGCGTTCAACGTTGAGCCATTGAGGATCAAAGACCTCCCAGTCCGAACATACGGGGCGTGAAAGCGACCACAGCCACTGCTTCTGTTTTGTTGCCGCCTTCCAGCCAGCAGAAACAAAGCAGTGGCTGTGGTCATTTTCGTTAAGCTTGGCACCAGGGAAATGACCACAACCACTGCTTCTTTTTCGGCCGGCTGGAAGGCGGCGCAAACAAGAAGCAGTGGCTGTGGTCATTTTCCCGTCCCGCAGAATAACACGAACATGACGCAGCCTCACTGAGGTTCCCGTCGTGGCATTTAGGACATACTTTTGGGCGGTGTGGTTCGATACATTTGCAGAAAAGATCCCCTATCCCTAATGTTGTTTGGCCCTCCTCACTTAGATCCTCTCCCAAAGGGTTAGTGGTCCTTTAATCATGGAACGCCGCCGGCGATTAAGGATCGGCCGATGTTGAACGATCTGACGTTTTGGAAATGGCCGATCGGTCAAGGTTGAACGATCCCCGCGGTGTCAGAAACCAACGCCTAAGTCGGCATGACCAGAGCTTGCCGTAGCCGATGCCGCGGCCCGTCGCGGACGCCCAGGCACCTACGCGGGCCATGTCAGCATGTTCAGATGTCCCAGGCGTGATGTTTTCGCAGAGGCGAGCTGCCTTGGATCAAGGGCACCCCATTGAGAGTCCTCCACGGTGCTGCCCGGCGGTGGAAGGATCAGGCGGAGAGCGGGGTCGGTGAGAGGCCGCTTGCAGAAGGGACTCTCTCCTTCGGCTTGATGTTTGCCGTGGGCCTGACGAACTTTGAGCATTGCTTTGTCAGGTTCTTTTAGGTGCACCCGGATGTGTCCCAGTTGCGCCAGTATGTCTGTGCACCAGGCTTGGTTTGACCGGCGGCACTCGCATTGGTTTTCGCCAGCTGACCCCTGCTGTCCGCTCCCGTCTTAGTCTCTGACTCGTGCTATCCTCAAGAGAATCAGGAGGGGAAAAAACACACAGACACAATTAATCGGCGATTCCAAGAAAATATGGGAAAATATGGGAAGTGGGGGGGAAGACAAAAACCCAGAAAATATGAGAAAATATGGGGGGTATTTTTATGTGTGTGTATTTATTTGTGTGTCCCAGTTCCCCTTCAGAGAAGCAATGCCTCTGAGTGTATGCATCTGACTGAACGGCCCGTCTCCGCTGGATTCGCCTCGAGATCCTGGGCCGAGCGCAGCCCCAGGAGGGGTTCCCCCCCCCCAGGGAGTATACTAGGGGCCTCGGTGTCCATCTGCTGCCCCAGCAGGGAGCCCTGGCGCCAGGCCCCGGCACGGGGCGAGGGGCGGAAGGAACAGAAGGGGGGGAGGGAGGCAGGAGAAAAAGGAGGGGGGAGGGGGGGGGAGGGGAGGAGGGAGTCGGGGAGGGAGGGAGGGAAGGAAGGGGGGGAGAGGGAGCTGCTTTGCCCCCGAGCAGCGCTCGCACAGGACTGCTTCATTGGGTCACTGGAGCAGCTTCTTGGGTGTCCAGGGGCTCGGCGCCCGTGCTCGCTCGTGGGCGCGCCCCGTGGGCGCTCCTTGGCTGTGGGCGGGTGATCCCAAGCTTTCGCCGCGCTGGCGCCCGTTGCCCGCTCGTGTCCCGCAGGCTCCGCCGCGTTGGCGCCCGCGCCCCCCTCTTGCGCCGCGTGGGCTGCCCCGAGGTGCCGCTGCGTCGGCGCCCGAGTGCCCGCTCGTGGGAGCCCGGCGGGCGCCCCTTGGCTGCGGGCGGGTTTTTTCCGCAGGGGCTCGCCGCGCTGGCGGCCGTGCCTTCTCTTTTGTTGGGGGGGGCCCGGTGGGCGCACCGGGCGCCGGGTGGTCTGCCCAGGTTTCGCCACGTCGGCGCCCGGGCGCCCGCTCGTGGGCGCCTGAGGGCCCCGTGCGGCTCGGCGGGCGTCCCGAGGGTTCGCCACGTCTGCGCTCGCGTCCGCTCGGGGGAGCTGCTTCGCAACGCACAGCTCGCTCACCACATATCAGAACTAGCTTACACAGCCTGACACACACACACACACACACGCACACACACACACACACACACACACACACACACACTCTCTCTGCAGTCTACACCGCATAGGCCACACGCCACACAGCTCACACCACATAATTAGCCTGAACACCACACAGACTACACGCCACGTGCCCTGCTCACCACAGCTTGCACACACACACAGCGCTTACACACCATAGAGCTTACACCGCTCGGCTCCACCGCACAGCCCTCACCTCCAGGGCGCGGCAGCTCAATGCCTGTGGCCCACGCCGGCCATCGCTCGAAGAGGGCGCCCAGTGGGCGCAGGAGGTCTGAGCACACCCTCTCGCCAGTGTTAAGTCGGGCGTGTCCCCCTACAGGGGGGTTTTGGGCGACAAATAAAACATGCAATCTATATATATATATATATATATATACACACATCGTCCCGAGACTATTTTCACTATTTTTTTAATATGTCCCCTAAAGAGGGACACGCCCGACTTAACGCCAGTGATGCGCCGGCTGGCGTTGGGGAAGACGGCGAACCCAGTACAAGGAGCTGGAGGAAGGGGGGAGGGGGAGGTTACATAGTAAGTGACGGAAGCTTCCGCTCGTCTTGCATTGAATGCATCTATATATATAGAGAGAGAGAGAGATAAGTGCGAATAGTGTTCACAGGGCGCCAAATCGCGACCAGTAGCGCCGAATAGTGTTCAAACAGCGTCGACATGGCGCCCAACAGCGCCCGATGGTGCCATGTGAGTGAGGGAGATGCATTTCGTCCGCTTTGCGAGCTGCTGGACGCGATGGAGTATTCGACGTCATGAGGACCACAAAAAGCAAGCTTCTGTTGGTTGCTTTCCAAGAGTGGCTTCTGGCGCTTCCCGCCCCTCTTTCACCTTCAGGGCCCCCCTTGAAGTACAGTAGAAACCCATGCGAAGAATCACCCTGCTTGCCCCCAGGGTGCCCTGGGTTTCTTGGGTTTCGATGGTTTTGCGATTGAAAGCGCGACTTTCCCACGCCAAAAAACAGTGGACGTCCTGGGATCTCAGGGTTGGGTTTCTTGTGGAAGGTTTCTTGTGGTCGAGTTCCTACTGTATCAGCCACGGCCGAATCCGCCTCGAGATCACGGTAGGGTTAGGTCTCAGCGTCAGCTCCGAGGGAGATCGGGAGGAGTGCCAGGAAGTTTTGCACACGCGACTTGGCTCTGTGGTCGAAGGTCGGATTCCCATGAGGTCGCATGGTGTCCCAGCGCTCGATCGTCGAGCGGCCAGGTCTGCATGCGCATCAGGGTCTCAAGCAGAAACTCCGAGGGTGTAAGAAACATGCGAGGATGCAGCAAGCCCGAGAGTATCAAACACCTGCGAGGGCATAAAAAGCACCCAGGGGGGGTAAACACTCCACCGGCTGTTTCTATATTCCCGAGAGTTCTTGTCCGGCCGCGCGTGGCCTCCGAACGTCGCGCGCAGGTGTCCAGGTCGCCGCGGGGTCGCGAAGAGAACCGCGCTGCGAGTGCTGGGGCGTTGACGCTCTCCGGAGAAGCGGCCCGGGAGCCCGAGGATGTTCAGGAGGGAACAAGAACACACAGACTGAGTCAGCCGTCGATTCCCCAGAAATGATTGGAAAAGATGGGACGTGGGGGGTGGAAGACAAGAACCCAGAAACCATGGGAGAAGATGGGGAAGGTTGTTATTTGTGTGTATTTGTTTGTGTGTGTCCCAGGGCCCCTTCGGATTTTTTTGCGATTTTTGCGTCGCTCCGCACCAAGGGCCAGGCTCGAAGTACGCTGACGTAGGTTCAGGAGCGAAAGAAGGACGTACATGTACATGAATCCGCGCTGTTTTCGAGAGCGCGCATTTCACAAATGTTCGTATAACGCGGCCCGTCTCGCGAATCGAGGGGCCGTGTTCATGTACATAGCTGGGCGCGTACGTCCTTTGTGGGCTCCCTATAGGTTCAAGGCGCTGAAACATGGAGAGGCTTGGGCTCAGGAGTGGCTGCGGTTGTCGGGCCGGTCAGTACATCCAGGTCGCGGAACCTGCTCGAAGCCGAGGCTCGCCACTGCCAGACGAGCCGTTTCGCTCCTTTTTTCGGCGCTCCTTCTGGTAATGAGGACGCTGACTGTCTCTTGGGGAAGGGGCGATCATCCGTGCAGCCTCAGTACCGTCGGGATCAGGCACGTGAGAGCCGCGGCACACTCAGAGCCCGTGGTTTCGTTGTCTGCGGTGCGGGTCCAAAGAATATACACCACCACCATGTCGATTCTCCTCCCTCCTCTACCCTCCTCTTCCTCTCCTCTCTCCTGGGAGACGGAGGGGGAGATGGAGTCGGTGGTGGTGGTGTATATGTTTGGACCCCCTATACGGGGCGCGCGGGAGGCAATTTCGTGATTGTTTCGAACCGGGGCCACGACAGCATCACCGTCTTCCGGGTGCATTACGAGGTGTGGCGCACATTCCAGCTGTTTGCGTGCGAGTCTGAAAGACATGTCCTCCTGTTTCCATTTCTACCAGGTGCCCTTTTTGATTTTCTCGCATCCTTCTCCGCGCTCTTTCGGTGTTGTGTGACTTGTCGTTGCAGCGACGGTGGAGGAAGTTGGGTGAGGGTTGGCTGGTTTCTGCAGCTGTCCCAGCAGCGTACAGGACATGTGTACAGTAAAATTACACCAGAGAACAACCCCAATCAGTGGATGGTTTGAAACTTAGTGATATGGATATTGAGATCGATTGTGATATCGACAGTGCGACCGATAGTTGGATCAATAGTGAGGACGATCGTGAGGTCCATCGAGAGACTGATAGTGAAGTCGATTCAGCGAGATCGATCGTGAGATCACTCATGCGATCCATGTGAGATCGGTTATGATATCGATAGTGAGATCGAGTGTGAGATCGATAGTGCGATCGTTAGAGAGGTCGTCAATGAGATTGATGATGGTACCAGTCGGTCGACCAGGAATTCGGAAACCTGGGAACCCCGCCGCCCACCGAAATGGGCCCTGAACCAGCAATTGGGAACCGGGGGCCCGAAACCAGGGAACCCGGCAGCCTACCGCAATCGGCCGGGCACTTTCGCCACATGTTTCAACATCCGCCAGGACCCCTTCGGTGCAAGCACCGATTAGGGATAGGGAAATATCACGTTGCATCTTCGGGGGACCTCGCCTGTCCCCAACATTTGTGTCTTTTCTTGTGCCCGACGCGGGCTCGGTGCGAACTCGACGCGGATTTTGCGTGGATCTGACGCGGATTCGACACGGATCCGACGAGTCCGGCACAGATTCGACACGGGTTCGTGGCGAGATGTAACATAATTTCCAACACCCGCCAGGACCTCTTCGGCTTGGCATCGCTCGGACGTGTGCATGTTTCTTTCGGCGAGGACCATGGAGAAGCACCCTTGATCATTTGGCGAAGCAGCCACGCACGACACCCCAACGGAAACAGGGAAGGGACGTCCGAGCGATGGCGAGAGCACCGATTTCACCATCCACCAAACCACCCCAACCCAACCCGAAGGCCCAAATTTATCCTCGATTTCCAGTGGGGGGGGGTCGGGGAACGTTGAAAAAACACGTGGTATCCGTACCCCCCCAACCCGAAATTCGGGTCAAATTCGGGTCTTCGGGTTGGGTTGGGGTGGTCTGGTAGGTAGTCACTATTGGGGCAAAATGCAGAGCGGGTACAGAGCGGGAGCACGGCGGTCCCCGCCACCCCTCCGACGGGGAGGGCTCCCGCACGCCTGACCGCCCTGCCGCTGCGACGCCGTGGCCTGCTTCGGGGCCTTCCTCCTCCTCCTCCTCCTCCTCCTCCTCCTCCTCCTCCTCCTCCTCCTCCATTTCGTCCTCGGGGTGGCGTCGTCGGGACTTCCCGGGAGACTTCTCTTCGGGCCGGACGAGAGGGGGGGAATTGGGAAAGGGGGGGTACAACATTTGCTGCGTGCAGCTGGTTTCGGCCTCACCGAGGGGCCCCTTCCTCGATACATGGCCGCCTCTGGCGCTGGGAGGCGCCGGGAACATCAGCTACGTGAGTGGATTCTTAGACCCCCCTTTTGTTATCCCCCCTTTCGCCCGCCCCGATTCTTGTCGGGCGAAGAGAATTACTGGGATCGCCGCGGTGGTTGCTGAGGGCACGGGGGGGTTAAAAGTGGATGCTGAGGTGGGATGTATCTAGCCTGACGCAGCTTAGAAGTTGGTTGCACGTGCCCTAAGTGGCTGAAGGGCGCACAGATCTGGGCCACGTGGGCCAGAGCCCACTTAGCGAAGTTACCTCATGATCCTAAGCCGCATAGGGCATTTGAGCTGGGTTAGGCCAGATACAACACATTTTAGCATCCGCTTCCAACCCCCCCCATCCCCTTAGCAACCACCACGGCGATCCAAGTATGCATATGCGCCGAGTGTGGCCAGGCCCATCCTGGGCCCAGGATCGGTGCATATGGCTTCCTGGCCGAGGCAGGAGGGCGTATGCCTTGATCCTGGGCTCCGGATGGGCCTGGCCAGAATCAGTGTATGCGCATAGTTCTCTTTCCTCCGTCTTGGGGGCCCCTTTGGGCCTCGGAGCCTCTCGGGGGCCTCTTTGGGCCTGTTCGGGGCCTCTCGGAGGCCTGTCCAGAGCTCCTGGGGGTTTCGTGGCGCGTATGAGTAGACATGCCGAGACGTGTTCCCCTTCTGGGGCCCTCTGTGGCCGTCTTCGGGGCCATCTTGGGCCCTCTCGGGGCTCGCTTAGGGGCCTCTTGAGCCATCCAGGGGCGATCTTTGGGGCCTCGTGGGCGATGTGGGAGCGCTCACGACAAGAAAATTCATGAGTCTGGCCTCTGGTGGCCCTCTTGGGGGTTCTCTTGGAGCCCACAGGGGGCGTCTTGGCGGCGCCTCGGACCATCTTGGAGCCGTCTTGGGCTGTCTGGGGCTGATCTCGGGGATAGATGGGCTCGTCCAGAGCCGTCTTGGAGCGAGATTGGGCCATTCTGAGGCCGCCGATGCGCCTCCAAGAAAAAACTCGCGGTGCCGCCGTGACTCGCGCTCTGCTCCCCCCGGGCGGGGTTTGAGAGGGTCAGGGGGGGTTCAGATCGAGGTGATTCTCGCGCTTGTTGGATGTCCTTGTGCATCCTGGGGAGGGTACCGTTGTATGTTCTGTGTGTTTCGGCAGGCGGATGGTCGCATGCTCTGAAGGATGTCATTATGTCCCAGGTCTGTGTGCAAGTGATGGCAGGATCCCCATACTCCCGCCGCCCTCTCCCGTGCTCCTTGACGTCGCTCGGACGTGTGATTTTTTTCCCCTCGGCGAGGACCATCGAGGAGCATCACGGATCGTCGAGCAGAAACCCGCACGAAACCCAACAGGGCACGGGGAATGGACGTGCGAACGATGGCAGGGAATCCCACCGCCCCCCCTTCTCCCGCCCCTCGCGTGCCCGGCCAGCGGTCCTGCCGCGGCATGCTGTCCCTCGTCGACGCCCAGGCCTGCGCGCGGCCCGGCCGGGCTTCAGCGGGTCGTCGCCGTCGGGTTTGGCGGGGGGAGAGAATCGACTAAGCGCAAGAGTGCCCTTTTCTCTGGAGGGACCTTCAGTGCGGGCCCACTGGTGTCCCCGATCGCTGAGCGCGAAGCGGCAGCAGCGGCTTGCGCGCGCGGGTTTGGCCACCCCGCGTTCCCCGTTACGCCGCGCACCGAAGGTCACTCTCGTCCAGGGTCATTCTTACGTGTAGCCGAGAGAAGTGGCACGGGGCAGGGAGGAATGGGGAGGTGGAGCGTCAAGCTAGGTGCGCTCGCACTTCCTCTGACATCTTATCCCTCCCTCCCATCCCTTCCCGTGTTTAGTTATGGTTTGTCATCCGACCTGCAACTAGCGCAGAAAGACCCCTTCGTGCCATGTGGAAGAAGAGGGGAGCTGCGTGCTCAGGAGTAGGTGGAGGGAAAGCAGGAACATGAGCGGGAGGAGAAGGATGAGGACGAACAGCAGCAGCACGAACTAAAGCGGAAGGATATGGAGGAAAAGGAAAGAGCGGAGGAGGGGAAAAGAGGGGGGCAACAACGATGAAGAAATATTTGGATTGAGAAAAGTTGCCCGCGCTGGGGAGAGACGAAAAGCAGCAGAAGAAGAAACTTGAGTGGACGGAGCGGGAGGAACAGGAGGACCAGGGGAAGGCGGAGGAAGAGAAATGAGGGGGGTACCACAATGGAGAAAGACTCGGATCCAGAAAAGTGGCCCGCTCTCGGGCGAGAGCGCCAATCTGAACGACGGGAGCAAACCGCCGATCCGAAAATGAGGCTCACGTGCAGCGGGAGCACCACCTTGAAGCATCGACCGCAATCGGATTGTAAACAACCGTAAGGGAAAGCAATGTTTGAAATTCCGTGTTTGTTTGTTCCCAAGGAGGAACAGCATGCAGAGGGGGCAGGAGATTGTCCGGACACTTTCAGGGGAGGAGGGAGAGCACGTTTTGTTTGATCGTGAAGGGGGCGCAAGGGAGGAGGGGTGGACTGCTAACGTCGAAGAAGGCGCGGGGATTAGCGACGGGCCTCGCTTCCATGCAAAATCGGCGCGCATTGTCGCCAAATGAGGCGGCATTGGCCTCATTTGTCGTGTGTACCTTCCCCGATCCATGGATCTGAACCTCACGCACCAGATCCACGGATCGCTGATCCATGCAAGCGTGCGCACGAAGCAGGGAATGGGGAGCGCGACGCCGGTAAGAGGTGGGAGGATATCCTCGGACATCAATTCAGGTAGGGGTGGTCCCCTTTGACCAGCCAACTTCGGGCATTGTTCGACAAATGGGTATGCCAATCCCTTGGCCCAAAGCTGGAAGTGCAGGATAGCATCGTGGGGTGAATTCTAATTTGAAAGACTGGTCGATAATCCTTCGCCGAGGATTCGCTTCGTTGGATATCATTGCCTGTCAGGTGTGGGAGAACAATCAGGCCGCAAAATGGAAGGTGTTGTGAAGACGCTCTGGAGGGAGGGGGTCCTTGGGGCTCCGGGGGATTCGTGGGATTGTTTACGGGGAGGTTGGATAGGATGGTGTGCAGATGTGGTAGAGGACGGGGAAGAGCACAGGAGGATAAGAGAAAGGAAACAGGACGAGGAGGAAGGACAAGAGAGGAGGAAACAGGGAGCAGGCATAACAGAGGAGAAGAGGAGAAGGCGAATTGAACACAGTCGGCCCGGACTAGTAGGTCGACCCTGCTAAATCAAGGGTACCCTTGTGTCCTGTGTCTCGCGACCCATGGTTCCTACATGACTGTGGCAATGTGGCTCTCGGAAGGGTTTTGTGCCCTTATCGCGTGTCCTGTCCAATCAAGTCCGATTGCAGGGAAGACTAAGGTGGAGAAGGAGAAGGAGGAGGAGGAGGAAGAGGAGGAGTGTGAGGAGTGTGAGGAGGAGGAGGCGGAGGAAGAGGAGTATGATGAGGAGAGAAGAGTGAGGGCGAGAAGTTGGACGGAACTCGAGCGAGGGAGGAGGACGAGGAGGAGATGATGGCCAGACGTAACAGAGTAGAACGTTGGACAGGGAAGTATGAGGGAGCGGTTCGTGGCCGTTTTGGTTCAAGGATCTTTGCGCGACCCTTTTCGGCCGGGGAGCTTGTGGCCGCGGGGGTTGGCCTTAGGCCGTGCCAAACGGATGCAAGGATCTTCAGGGAATTCTGAAGACGATCTGCTTCAGGGTTTGGGTGATATGCCATGCGTCACAGCATACGGGGCGCCTTATCTAGTTGCATGACAGACGTCACGATCAACGTAATCTGCTGTACGCGCACTATGTTTGACCGAACGGTCTACGTGTCCTATACCGCAACCCGCGAGTACAAACTCGACATCAACGTATTAGAACCCGAGATCTACAACAGTCAAACAATTACGAGGTTGACCCAACCCACGCCGCTACGGACCGCCAGCCATGTCAATACCGAATACGATCATATGGACATGTGCGAGATCAGGTGCGGCTAGAAAGCGCCCAGGTCACACTACCTCACTGAACACGGGCTACATCCACTCCCGCATGAAGTCACCATTACCGCCCCTGTCGTGTCCACGATGACTCCGCCGTGGATCGGGCCGACGCACCCGCCGTCGAGGATGAGCATGCTGAGCAGAAGAAACGTACGAGTTATTGACATAGGAAACCATGAAAACAGCACACAGGGATCGGTCAGGCTTCGGCCAGAGCTTTGATGCCCCTACACCTCAGGCGATGCTCAAGAAAACTTGAATTTTCGGCCAGAGTCTCGATTATTCTTAATGTTTCAATTTAATTCCCAAGATTTTGATATAATTTCTGGGTTTTAGTTAAATTCTGAGACTATGAATTTCTTAACCCATGATTTCTTAAGCATTTCGCAGGGTGTACGCTCGTCCTTGGGGCGCTTGCCTACGAGGGCGATTCCACCTGCGCAGATGTTCCGATGCAACTCACCTGGGAGGTCAGATGCTGACTTTGCCCTGGTCCGAAATCCCGTTCAATCCGGCCGAGTCCAGTTTTATCTGGCTGAATCCCGTTTAATCCGGTCGAATCCCAATTGATCCGCGGCTTAATCTGGCGTGACGGCCCCCCAATGGGGCTTTACACTTCTTCATCCTTCCGAAGAAATCCTCCCAGTAGTTGCCTCCTAGCAGATGACCAGCGCGGCCATTGGGAACACCGCGGCGATCTTCACTGCGCACGGCCTCTTTCTCGCTTCCCCTGCCCGGTCTGGTCGGCCAGATGGGCTCCACCTACAACGAAGGCGACCAGACCGAGGACCACGCAGGAACAGAAGGAGGAAGTTGGGCGACGACCAGAGCACGGAGGCCGAGAAGGGACTGCGGGGCCATTTGGAAGGCGGGGCGTTACGACCAAGCAGCCGGCGACTCCAATTTGGAAGCCATGCTGGCACAGGAGACCAGGGAGGAGGAGACCAGGGAGGCAGAGAGGAGATAGGATGCCGGGGTAGGCGAGGGAAGGAAAGCAGAGACTTGCAGGAGGGTGCAGGAGGAGGCCAGAAAGGTAGAGGAGGAGAGGACGCCAGAGGAGTCCAGCCGCAGTCACGGCGGCAGTTACTGCCAGGAGTGCTACGGCTTGCCCGAGACCGCCGACCAGAATTGGAGCTGCAGCCAGGACATTCGGCCACTCGGAGAGCGACTTGTCCTGAAGGCGATCTCCAGCTTGCCTGAACGTAACAGCCAACACTGGAGTTAAGTCCGGAAAGACTTGCACGGCCACTGCAAGAGTTTGGGCAACGTGGACAGCGGGCGGCTTGGAGGACAACCGCGGCCTCCCAGAGAACACGAAGCACAACGCGGCCCATTGTGCCTGAAGGAAAGAGGGACCCACGACGAGAGTTACAGTTGTGCGGACCGCCACAGCCTACCAGAGATATCACCAGCGACGGATGTTGCCTCGACGGGGGTTACAGCCTGCCGGTGCGCACCACCTCCAACGAGGCGTACGGCCTGATGTCGGCACGCCCGAAATTGGTACGGAAAGAATGGGTACAATGCCCAACAGCAGTTCCTGTTCATTTTGAACAGGACTCAATGTCCGCGCCGCCGTGGCCTGTTCCCATTCGAGACAGAAGGCCGCCCGCCCAACAGCGGCCGCTGTTGGTTTGGGACAACATTTGCTGTTGGGCATTGTACCCATTCTTTCCGTACCCATTTCGGGCGTCCAAATGAGGGGGGGGTTTTAAGGGCCACAGCGGGACCGACAGCGAAGAGGAGAGCGAGAGCCCATCGGAGTGCACGGGGTGTGGCTGGAGCGCGCGGCGACGGGGGGGCATGATGGCGCATGGCGCTGCGCAGTGAGGAGGGAGGAGGGCGAGGAAGAGGGACGAGGAGGAGGAGGAGGAGGAGGAGGAGGAGGAGGAGGAGGAGGAGCAACAAGGCGAGGAGGAGGATTAGGGGAAGTAGGAGGAGGAGGAGGAGGAGGAGGGAGGAGGGAGGAGGAGGAGGAGGAGGAGGGGAGAGGAGGAGGAGGATGATGATGATGATGATGATGATGATGATGATGATGATGATGATGATGATGATGATGATGATGATGATGATGATGATGATGATGATGATGATGATGATGATGGAGGAGGAGGAGGAGGAGGAGGAGGAGGAGGAGGATGTGGGGAGGAGGATGATGAAGAGGAGGAATAGGATGAGATGGAGATAGAGATGGACATGGACATGAGGAAACGAAGCGAGCAGAGACGGATGGAAGGGCAGGGCCGCCGCCGCCCGCACCGCCGCGGCAGCACACCCGCGGCGCCACGCCGCGCCACTTCCAGTTCGACGGGTCGGGGCAGTGGCTGATCACTGCGAACCAGGAGCCGGTCGGTATCGTTTAACCGATTCCCATCCCCATCTCCCCATCCCCTCCGAGACCCCCACCAAATTACCACCCCAGTCGGGGATACACCCTTCGAAACCCGAAGGGAACGGCCTATATCCCCATCTAGGGGGTTAAACCGGCCAGTGGGGCCCAGTCCACGCCGCTGGGGATGGGGGTCGGATAAACGATTCTCATGAGCTTCGAGCTTTCGAGTTCGAGTTTCGTCGTTTTCTCGGGGAAGCGCAAGGCTCGAGTGCGCCGGAATTCGGATTCGCCGACGCTTTTTGACGAGCCCGTCCTGGATTTTGTCGGTCCAGTTTTCGCGGGATGTCTGCAGCGGGAGGTCGCGTCAAATTTCAGGCTGGGTTTCGTCATTTTCATGATGGTCGCGTTAGGCCAACTCGAGTTTCCCGTACCCGAGTCTTACGTCTCCCCGTTTGTGGTGTGTTGAGGGGTGTTTTCGGCGGCTTTCCACCCTCGGGATGCTCCAGCAGCTGCGCCTCGCCGAGACTGTCTCAGGGGTGCCCCGAGCGTCTCAGGGGGCGCCGCGGCCGCCAGGCCGGCGCGACGTTGGGGGCGAACAACCCAGGGCGTACAGTCAACCCGCGTAGTAAGGATGGGCAACCTTTCCCATGGGTACCCTTGCATCCTTGTTTCCTCGGTCCATCCTTGACTACTTTCGTTGGCCGCTCCCCGCTCGAAAAGCTTCGGCATGGGAGTCCAAGGCCTTTGCATCCTTATCGCGCATCCTTGTGATGCGGGCCGACTGTACGCCTTCGCGCGCCGTCGTACGAGATGGTTCGAACTGCGTCGGTTGGCTAGTTTCGATCCCGACCTCGATTGCAGCGCGGCGGATCTGGGTCAGATTCTGGTCCGAAGTGTTGTTGGGTGTCCGATTTCGGTCCGATCCGATGCGCGCGCAGGTTTCCAGTTGCTCCCGATCCAGTTTTTCGCCGACGCGATTTCGAATTTCCGATCCTGTGCAGGGTGGGCTTGCTTGTATCCAGGGGCGCCAATGCTCCATGCGTTCGGCTCGGCTGCCGGGCGAATGCGTGTTGCCCGCCCCTGGGCCATTCGCCCCTGGTGTCGCCTCCGAATCTTGTCTCGCCGTGTCGGTTCAGCGCGAGAGCGCCGTTTTTGTCCTCCGTTCGCGTGCTCGTTTTGGGACCGTCGGGCCGTAATTAGGATCAAGGCGTCGAAGAGGAGGAGGAGGAGGTGGATGTTCAAGAGAACGCGGGGTGGGGGGGGGGCAGGAGGATGAGGCGCGGGGAAGAAGAGGAGGCCGTGGGAGCGGGAGGAAGGGTTGGCCCCGCGCTGGGGCTCCGCATGCCGGCACATGCCGCCACGCTCCCTGCCGCTTATTTTTCTCAATTATCCTGTGGTGTTGGGCCCTCGTTTCGAAGAGACAGCACCCCGCGTTTTTCTCCTCACTCCTTCCCCTCCCCCTCCCCCGCCGCCTCCATTTCGACGCACCCCTCACACGTTTTGCGGCCCCATAGGGGGCTCCGCCGAAGGCCCCAGTGAGAAAATCGCATGGCACCGCCGCCCCATTTCGGCACACCCCTCACACGCTTCGTGGCCCCATTGGGAGCTCCGCCGAAGGCCCCAGCGTGAAAGTTCGTATGGCACCGCCGCCCCATTCGGTACACCCCTCACACGTTTCGTGGCTCCACATAAGGCTCCAGTGGGAAAGTTCGCATGGCACCGCCGCCCCATTTCGGCACACCCCTCACACGTTCCGTGGTCCCAGAAGGGGGCTCTCCCTAAGGCCCTTGTGAAAAAGTTGGCATGGCACCGCCGCCCCATTCGGGCACACTCCTCATACTCTTCGTGGCCCCAGAGGGAGCTCCGCCTAAGGACCCTATGGGAAAGTTCGCATGGCACCGCCGCCATTTCGGCACACCCCTCACACGTTTCGTGGCCCCGTAGAGGGCTCCACCTTAAGGACCTTGTGGGAAAGTTTGCACGGCACCGCCGCCCTATTTCGGCACCCCCCTCACACGTTCCGTGGTCCCAGAAGGGGGCTTTCCCTAAGGCCCTTGTGAAAAAGTTGGCATGGCACCGCCGCCCCATTCCGGCACACTCCTCAGGCTTTTCGTGGCCCCAGAAAAAGGGCTCCACCTAGGGCCCGAGTGGGAAAGTTCGCATGGCATCGCCGCCCCATTCCGACACACCATTCACACGTTTCGAGGCCCCATTAGGGGCTCCACATAAGGCCTCAGTGGGAAAGTTTGCATGGCACCGCCGCTCCATTTCGGCACACTTCTCGCGCTTCGTGGCCCCATAGGGAGCTCCACCTAAGGCCTCAGTGGGAAAGTTCGAATTGCATCAATATGGCACCGCCGCCCCATTTCGGCACTCCTCGCGCTTCGTGGCCCCAAGAGAGCTGCACGGAAGGCCATGGCGACGTTCGCATGCGTCCGCCCGACTCATTTCGGCACACCTTTCACACGTTGCGTGGAAGAAGGCTATGCCGCGTGCGTTATTCGAAGTTTGCGCGCCCCCCTCCTTCGTCTCATCTTCCTTACGGCACTCGCAGCTGCATGTGGTTGGGTCCTTGGTCAGGCCCGCCTCAGACAACTTGTCGTCGCCGTGTCGTCGATCCTCTCCCCCGCTGCGTTTCTCACAGGATAAAAAGCATCCGGGACCTCTACTCGTTCCTCGTTTCCCCCGTTTTAGACCTCTGGGAGGCCTTCGTCGCCACGACTGAATCCGCCTCCACATTTTACTCAGAAACCACTTTGGGAGAGGTCTGGGGAGTAGCGGTATGGATACTGTTTTGCCCTCCCAGTTCCAACCTAACTAACGGTTCCGCATACCCCGTTTCCTAAAGAATATTTTTTCCATTGTTCTAGCTGTCACGAATAAAGGGTCGTGCCACACGATAGTAACTCTGGAAGAATGATGCGAGCCAGCGTGGACTCCGAACAGGACGTCAGTGCACTGTGGATGTGTAACCTACATAGCACAAGCTGAGTGATTGAAGCTCTGTGGTGCAGTGTACAGTGCCGTTTTTTAATACATGCTCCACGTGCGGATCATGTATGAAAAATGCAGGGTTTAGTATTAAAAACAACGATGAGTTCATGCGTGAATTCATTCATGAATTAATCACGGATTGAGAACCCTATACTTTTGGACATCCTTTTGGACATCCCATGTATTAAAAACTGCCCTGTACGTGGTGCCAGCTAAAGGCGCCAACGGAGCGGCAACGGGCGGAGACCCAGCGAAACCCCGCCAGACCCACCGTTGTGCACGAGGCGGCAACAACTGTGGCAACGTGGTGGCCACGGCAGCGTTGGCGAAGTTCTGTCGGACCCACCCAACGCACGAGGCGGTACGGTGCCGTTTTTTTATACATGTTCCGCGTTCGGATCATGCATAAAACATGAGGGGATTTAGTATTAGCAACAACAAGGAGTTCTTGCATAAATTTGTTCATAAATGAATCATGTATTCAAAATCCAATACTTTTTTAATCCTATGTGTTTAAAAAAACCGCCCTGTAGCGAGACGGCAACGAGGCGGCAACTGGCGGCAACGTGGCGGATCCATCCAGTTTTTGATAGCACAAAAGTAAGATCCCATATGTGCAAGCTCTGCCCAGGGCATGGGTCCCACCTTTCTGGAGCTCGTGTCATGAATCGGGAAGAGAGCGGCCGAGAGTTCAAACGAGTCTCAAGCAGGTGCTCATTCTTGAAAATGAGCCGCCCTCATCCGCATCATCGTTGGACCTGGAGAACGGGTGTTCCCGGCTCCTCGGCGAAGGCCCAATGCTCTAAATGAGCCGCCCTTCGTCCGTGTCATCGCTGGCAGTTTGTGAGTCGAATGTGCGCGGGGCCATGGCGAGGCCCCCATTTTTGAAAACGGATTGTCTTCCATCCGTGCGTCTGCTGGAAATTTCCAGCTGCGCGTTTGCTGGGCAGCTTTGGACAGGGAGAGACGCTGAAGGAGGGGGGGAGAGGAGGGGGGGGGGCGGGGTTGGAAGGGGCAGGACGCGGGCGATGAGGGACGAGCAAATGGAACGAGGGGGGCGGGAGGAGTGAGAGGAGCTGGATGGAGGAGGTGGGAGTCGGGAGGAGGAGGATCGGAGGAGGATGGAGGAGGAGGGTAGGGTGGAGGAGGATGGAGAAGAGGGAGAGAGAGAGGGGCGAAGTGGATAGAGGAGGAGGAAGTGGAGAGGAGGAGGAAGTGGAGAGGAGGAGGAGGGATGACCAAAGACGAGGATGCCGGAGCCGCCTCAGGACTCCGACAGCATCGGGGTGGCACCGCCCAGGGGGGGGGGGCGTCAGCCGCGCGCGCGCGCGCGCGCGCCCTCCCCCCGCTCTATCCTCCCCCTCCGTGCCAGCTTCGGCTGCGGCCCGCGGTGGTGATGACGATTTGGATGGTGGTGGTGATGACGATGACGTTGATTCGATAGTAAGTCCCAGAAGCTCTGAGGAGGAACGGGTACCCACATTGCTACCTTCAGGTCGTTTTCCCATTTTGGGGACTTCAGGCAGGCCCTCGTCGCCACCGCTGGATTCGCCTGGAAATCCTGTTCAGAACGCACCCCGGCAGAGGATTGGGGAGTAGTGGTATCGGTACCTGTTGGTCCCCCCAGAGATTTCAGTTCGTCTCGGATTGAGTTTATATCGGCGATCAGCGCCCAGTATCGCTCAATAGCGCCCAGTAGCGCCCAGCTGCATCGAAGAGTGTGCCCAGTGTTCCCATTGGTTACGGGGAGTGTTCCGTCCAAGACCTCTACACGTGTTTGTCACGTGTTCGCTCTGAGGCCAGAGAAAAGACATATTTCTTTGTACTCGGGGGCGATTTCAACGCAGAGGTGGGCAGCCTGCTGGACACAGATTCCGACAAGGTCATCGGCAAGTACGGCATGGGCGTGGAGAATTCAAGGGGGCAGTGGTTGAAGCAATGGGCAACTCGTGAGCAACTTGTTATTTGCATCATTTTCTTTTCGAAGCCCTCGCTGAAACGAGTAACGCACACGACAACTAAAGGCAGGGCACGGCATATCGATTGTTTCGTGACAGATCGTAAGGCGTGGCATCGCGCACGGGATTCGGTCTTTGTCTCAGGCATCAATAGAAGGTTCAGACCACGTCGTTGTCAAACTCGTCTTGAACATTATTGTGCCCAAGAAGATTGGGACGAAGACGAACACCATGAGCATGAATATTGCGACACAGTGGAAGGCTGTAAGCCATCTAGGTTTTTCTCGCATGCTCGAAAGATCCCGGCATACGACCGCCCTGGAAGGCGACGCCGACAGAGCTTCCCAGATTGAAGAGATGTTGGTCGATGCAGATCGTCTCAGCACCAAAATACCCCCTGCAACAAATCCAGATTTCCAGGCACGACAAGCAGAAATCGACAAGATGGTTGAGGAGCGGAAAAGTTACCTCCAGGTGATCCCCCTTTATCATCGTGCAAATATCAGCATGTTCGTCCAACAAGAAATGAAGCGTTTGAGGAAGATGGAGGCAAATGGCTGCATAGAGTCAATACTTTCGAACTTCAGCGGCTTGGGGGAAACACGATCAGCGAAGTCCCCAGTGAAGAAACTCATGGCCACGAGTGTGTTCGATGGCAACAGGGCTTCTCTTAGTGTATTTGCAGATTTCTATGAGGATCTGTATTCATCCAAGTGCTACGTCGACAGGCACCTGCAACTGCTGCAGCCGTGCGAAGACAACATCCCTGCGTTTACCAATGTTGACGTATTATGCGCCATCAAGCAGCTAAAGCGTAACAGTTGTCCGGATGAAAGTGGCGTCGTCGCTTCTGGCGGGAGGGGGGGGCGGGCTGACAAAAGTGCTCACGAAGCTGTACAACGACATCACGAGGGATGGTGCCGAACCTCCACCGAGGTGGGGGGAAACAGTGATCACCGTGCTTCACAAGTCAGGTGACGAATGCGTGCCAAAAAAACGATCGACCGATCACCATGTTCCCACTGTTGTGCAAGTTGTTTGCCCGACTGCTTTAAAATAATTGGTGTCCGGCTTTGGATCCCACGCGGAGCCCAGGCCAAACCGGTTTCCGACGTCACGCAGAAGACGATCTTTTCGTTGTGGCACAGTTGCAGGAGCAGGCGTACGAGTTTCGTACACCAGTGTGCATAGCGGCGCTGGATTTCCACAAGGCGTTCGATTCAGTGGAACATCCTGCGTTATGGAAAGAATGGTTCTCGCAAGGTGTGCCGCGACCAGCATATGTCGACCTTTTGGCATCTCTGTACACTGGACAGCAGGCGCAAGTTCGGTTCGCACAGACGTGCGAAGCAGATGGTTCGATATCTCTTGGGGCACAGGGCAGGGCGACCCGCTGAGTAGTCAAATTTTCAATGGTGTCCTTGAGGAAGGTGTACAAAGTGCGTAGCAGTTGTGACATGATCGTGGTTACGGCATTTGTTTGGGATTTTCACGCGTGTCTCTTCTGACCAACCTGTGGTTTGCGGACGAGTTTCTCGTGACAGCCACATCTTTGCGCCGAGTTGGGGCAGTGTTGGGCGATTTGGGCAGGCTTGCTGGCGCTTTTGGCTTGAGCCTACACCCAGAGAAGACACAGATCTTCAGCAACGCAACCAGGCGTACTGGAAGCGCGAAGGCGGGGTCAATACATACATCAGGAATGGACATTGAGATTTTACCAGTGGGTGGGGCTGTCAAATATTTTGGGCGCGTGGTCGGTTTTGAAGCCGCGCGCGAGGTTGAACTGGGCCACCCGCTCCGGCAGGCATGAAAAGGCTTTCGTGTGTCACAGAGACGAACTTGTGAATGAAAAGTACAAATTGCTGGACCGCCGCCGACTATTTGACAGCGCTGTCACACCAGCAGCGGTTTTTGGGTCGTCGTGCTGGACATAAGCAAAACCATGGCAGGACAATTTTGTGGGATCACAACGGCGTATGTTGAGGATGGTGCTTGGGGTTCCGAGAAGACGGGTCGCAGAGCTCACGGATAGCAGCTCTAGCAATACAAGCCGGTCAATCTCGTCCAGCTCTTGCTCAACAGACCATGTCATGGTGGAGTCTCGGCGAAATTGGATCCAACGTGCCACGCGTGAGTTGCACCAACATGCGCGGAATAGTAAGATCGACGACTGGCGCGTGCTATGGCGCACGCGGCGATGGAATGTCTGCGCGCCGATTGGAAGTTTACCAGCCTGCAGGTGGACCAGCAAGATTATGTCGTGGGAACCGTGTGCAAATCCAAGGGTTCAGGGGCGCAAGCCACGCAGACCGCGGACGCGGTGGAGTGACGATACTTGTGATGTCATGAGGTCGGCCGGTTATGATGTTCCACCAAGCGCGTGGCAAAGCGTAGCAGCGAATCGTGCCGCCTGGCAGGCTCTGCTTGATTCGTATTGTCAATTCTTATGTTTGAAAACAAAGCGCTGCGGCGCTTGTCCACATCCCCCCGCGACGCGCAACGGGACGGGCCTGTCCCCGGCAGGGTGTTGTATCGTATCGTTTCACAGTGCAAGTCGCGATGAATCGTGGGCATATGGCGCCAAACGGCGCCCATTGGCACCATATGAGGGAGACGCGTTGCGTCCGCTTTGCGCCGTATTGGGCGCCAAGGGGACGGACGACCAAAAGCTTCCGCGACTTGCTTTCTAATGTTGACGATAGTGGCGACGACAAGAACGAAGATTACGGTGATGATGGTGATGGTGATTGCGATGATGGGAGTGCGTGCGCATGAATAGTACAGCCCAAGCTCTCCGGTCGTCCATCGGAAGGGACATTGTATGCAGGTGTCAGCCAGCTTTCCCGTGGCTGCCACCGTGGCCCCAAGGTGGCCACAGTGGCAGCCAGGGAAAGTAGGTGAGATCTCGAAATCACTGGAGACGGGAAGCCGTCATCCCCTCGCGCACGCTTCAGTGTCTCGCAGAACCGCGGCGTCCGCTTTCAAATCATGAGAGCCTTGTGTACCTTCGCAACTCCGTCTTTAGAGTGCACTCGCTTCGCTAAGCGCCTGGTAGTCGATGGTTCAGCGTCAATTTAGCGTCCATCAACGTCGATCAGCGTCGATTCAGCGTCGATGCAGAGCCGATTAGCGTCGATAGGCAAGAGCCAACACGATGGTATGTAAGGCTTCCATGAGTTGCCGCCGAACGTGGCGGATATGCTCCTCTCCCCCGTGAGCCGTCCACGTGGCGCGCAAACGTGTCGGCGCGCGTGCGGTGCAGGCGTTTCGTTGAGCCCCCGACGTATGAACGTCGAGGGGCGCGCCAGCGCTGGCGCCGCCGACGCCGACGCCGACGCTGACGCCGACGACGACGACGACGACGACGACGACGACCTTCTCGTTCACAACCGCGGGGACGTGGCCGTTCGACTGCCCGCTCGCCGTGGTCAGATGCAGTGCAAGTGCCGCCGAGGCCGACCCCTCCTCGATCGGGGAAACGCCACCCCGTTGGCCGAGAGGGAGGAGGGGGGAAGGCGGCAGCCCGCGGCCCGCTCCCCTCGCGTGCCCGTGCGGCGTCCGGCGAGGTGTTCCGCTTCAACCTGGCCACTGGCAAGCTGGACTGGACTGGCCACGAGTACAGGAGGGCACGGGAGGACACGTGTCCGGGGCGGCAAAGAGGGGGGTGCTGACAAGAGGGGGGAGGAGGATATCATGGCATGGGCCATGATATGTCCTCAGATTACGTCCCCCCCCCCCCCCTGTGCGCGCACATGCCGCTGGTCATGATTCAGGAGGGGAAAAAAACACACAGACACAATTAATCGTCGACTCCCCAGAAAATATGGGAAAATATAGGAAGTGGTGGGGAAGACAAAAACCCAGAAAATATTGAAAAATATGGGGAATCTTTTTATTTGTGTGTATTTATTCGTGTGTCCCAGTTTCCCTTCAATGATTTGCACCCCCCCTCTTGGACGCCCCCCTCTTGGCCGCCCCCGAATGTGGGAGGGGAGGGAGCGACGAGGAGGCAGCGCGAGAGCAGTGCGTCGCGCGGGCGCCGTGCGCAGCGCGCGGGCGAATCGTCTGCGCGCCGTGGAGGGGTCTTCGAGGCCGAGATGCTGGCTCCACTGAGCTCCAGTGTTAAGTCGCGCATGCCCCTCTACAGGAGAAACGTTCAGAAATAGTCGAACAATAGTCAGGGGACGATGTTTCGACTATGCTAAATCATTAGTCGAGGATGTTGTGTGAATTTTTCATTTGTCTTCCACAATCCGCCTGTAGGAGGACATGCCCGACCTAACTCCAGTGCTGTCGCGTCAGTGTCGTGCACGCCCCTTCGGGCATTCCGTTCTTCCCCTGCGTGCAGTCTGCAACTCACCGGTGCAAAGGTTTGCCAGCGCGGACTTTCAACAGTGGGTTGTTGCCTTTGTGCATGTGTCATCTGTGTGGCCCACTGTGTCTCGCGGACTTCGGCGCATCTGGCCCCCGTGCCTTCGTTGTGGATCAGAGGCTTCTTGGATCTCTCGGGAGGGGCCTGACGGAGGTCCCTTGGGGCCTGATTTGAGTCTCGTGGGGGCCTCTCGTGGGGCCGTCTGGGGGGCCTCTCGGGGCCCACTGGGGCCGTTTGGGTGCCATGTTTGGGGGCCCTTTGGAGGCCTCTGGGGCCGTCTTGGGAATGTTGGGCTGTCCTCCTGGGGGAGCTCTTGGAGCCCTCTTTGGGCGTCGTGGCGGCCCCCTGGGCCGTCTGGAGGCCAGCTTGGACGCCTTGGAGCTGGCGACTCGGGGCACTCTTGGACCGTCTCGGGGGCCTCTTGGGCCGTCTTGGATCCCCTCTGGCCCCAGAGAGTGCATGCCGGAATATCTGCTGGCGCCAGAGAGCGCCCAAGAGCACCCAGAATGCTAGGTTGCGGGCCCCTTCAGGGAATCCTCAGGAAAGGATCTGAGGACACCCCAACATGCGCCTCGGAGCGTGGTGGTTTATGTGCAAATGCAGGTACACATCTATATATACTTGTTCAGATACCTAACCGATATGTGTTTATGTCTCTGTCTACATAGACGTATCTGAACATACTATATGTGTATGTGTGTGGTGTGAGCTGGTGCGGTCTATGTGGCTCGAGCTCTTTGCTGCAGGCTCTGTTGTGGCAAATGCTTCGTGCCAGCTGCGCGTTGGCAACACGTGTGGTGCAGACTGTCTGGTGCGCGCCGTGTGGTTTGAGCTGTGCCGTGCAAGCTGGCCGCCCGGCGCACGAGGCGCCCACGGGGCGCACGCGACGAGGCACCAACGCGCAACGGACGAGGCTCCGCACGACTCCTGCAGCGCACGGGGCGCCCACGAGGGCCCACGACCGGGAACCGGCCGGGCCCACGGGCGAAGCCTCGGCACAGCCGCCCAGCACGACGGGGGCGTCCGCGGGGCGCCCACGACCCAGCACCAGCCAGGGCCCAGGCGCAGCCTCCACGGACAGGCCCAGCCCACAGGGGCGCCCACGAGACGCCCACGACGGGGCACCGACCGTGCACCAGGCACAACGCCTGGCATCAGCGAGGCGCCCACGACCAGGCACGCACGGAGCACCTGGCGACACCTCGAGAGACCAGCCCGGCGCACGGGGCGCCCACTGGTCGCCCACGACCTGTCTTGGCATCGTTCGGACGTGTGCATATTTTTTCCCCGGCGGCGGCCATCGAGGACCATCCTTGATCACTTGGCGAATAAAAAAGACACGCGCGACATCGAAAATTACATCGAAGACCATCCTTGCTCATGTGGAGAACAAAAAAAAAAACACGCACGACATCGAAACATACACGAGGAATGGACGTCCGAGCGATGGCGAGACCTGGCACCAGCCGGGGGCCACCCGGCAGCACCTCGACGGGCCCGCCCAGAGCGCGCGGGGCGCCCGCGCGGCGCCCCGCGCCCGCGACCCTCCGCCAATCTCGGGCGCCAGGCAAGATCTCGACGACGCCTCCCCGCACGCGGGACCCGCGAGGCGCCACTTGACCGGGCAGGCAGCGCCACTCAACCGGGCACGGGCGACGTCTCGGCATCGCTCGGACGTGTGCATTTTTTCTCGGCGACGGCAATCGAGGGCCATCCTCGATCATGTGGCGAAAAAAACACGCGCACGAAATCGGAAAATACACGAGGAATGGACGTCCGAGCGATGGCGAGCGAGAGACCAGCCCAGCACACGGGGCGTCCACGAGGCGCACGCGGCCGGGCACCAATGGGGCATGCGGCCCAGCACACGGGGCGCCCAGCGGGCGCCCAGCACCGGGCTTCGCGCGGGACCTGCTGAAGGGTATTGAGTGTTGTCCATTTTCTTGGAGAGCGTATAGAGTAACCTCCACAAGCGCAAGCATCGTTTGCGGAACTGTGGAGCAAACGATAGGTGCGTTGTCCGTACACGATGAGCCTAGAAGTGCGAGCGGTAGTTCACAATTGCAAGCGCTGGTTTGGGACCGAGCGAGGAATCACATTGGAACCGACTGCGCGGAGATTCGCGCTCGAGCGTCCCGCGCAAGGGCCCTCGAGAGCGCTGCCTCATCCGCGTGGCGCGAGGCGTTTGCGCCCAGCTAGGGCCACCGCGCAGGATCGCCCGGCCGCCTTCTGCGGTTCCATGGGGAAGGGATGAGGCCCCAAGGACGGGTGGCCTCAGACAGGGAGGTTCGGCTTGGGATTCCCTTCCTATCCTTTGGGCCCGATCCCATAGAGCATTCGACCCGCACAGGAGGGATGGGCAACCTTCCCAAGGGCACCCTTGCATCCGTGCCCCCCCGGTCCATCCTTGGCCACCTTGGTTGGCCGCGCCCCGCTCGAAAAGCTTCGCAGTGGGCGTCCACGGCCCTTGCATCCTTAGCGTGCGTCCTTGTGATGCGGGTCGACTGTGACCCGTCTCTGCACCGCCGATTCTTTCTCGTCGCTCAATTCTAGACGTCGTGCCGCCGACAATCGAGCGACGCAACAAAAAATGGGGGGTCGTCTGCGCCGACACTGGCGCGCAAGCTGCCCGCGGAAGGCTGCGCGCAGGCGCCCTCGTCTCCGGCGCAGCGTGCCGCTTGGGCGGCCCGCGTGAGCCGCCGCGTAAGGTCCCTACGTCATCTCGTTTTCGATCGTCGCCCGCTTGACTCGGGGGTGGACAGACCTCCTACCCTGACACGTCGATTCGCGAACTGGCCGTTTTCGGTTCGCGAGGGGGCGTCGCGGCCGGCCTTTCTGCGGCTCCAGGCGCGTCGGTTTCGGTCCCAGGCCGTTTTCACTAAGGGAGGTCTACTACAGTGGGGGCGCGCATCAAGAAACCATATACTTTTCGTCAGGGTACCCTGGGTTTCTTCGCTCCGCGCGATGCGCGGTGACTTCCCGCGGCCGTTGAAGAAGCTGCTGCGTTCGGGGTGCTCCAGGTTTCCCCTCACTTGCACCTCGCGCGCGGGTTTTCAGGGTTGGGTTTCTTGCGAGGGTTTCTTGCGGCCGCGCCCGCACTGTAAAGGGAGGTTTGTCCACCGCCGCTCGACGCGCTCGCGCCTGCTCGCGCGGAGCAGCGGCGCGAGGCGCAGTCGGCGCGAGCCGGCGGCACGGGGTGGCGCGCATTCTCCGCGGGCCCCACTGGGGCGCTCGCCAAAGGCGGAGCGGCAGCGAAGCTCACTCCATGGGATGGGGTCGGGGGTTGGATCCATGCCTCGAGGCCTCTTCCTCCTCCTCCTTCTCGTCCCCTCCCCTCCTCCTTCTCGTCCTCCTCCCCTCCTCCCTCTCGTCTCCCCCTCTCCTTCTCCCGATCCCGATCCCTCTCCTCCTCCTCCTCCTCCCAGATGCTTCGCGCCCTCGCGTGTGCCCTCCTCTCCCGATCGTCCTTTTCGCCTCTTCCCTGCGCATCCTCCCGTCTCCTCCTCCCTGCTCCGGGGCCTCTTCCTCCGGCCAGTGGCGTTTCACCCCCATGGGCGAGCTCCACCACGGCCGTTGGCATCAGATTTCGGCTGTCCCATGATGAGGCTGTGGCCTGTTGTTGGACAACAGCTGCTTTCTGGCAGCACTAACTTTCTTCGAGTTGTCTACAGTCTCCAGTTTTCGCCACTGACCGCCTCAGCCCAAAGATGGGTTTGGGTACCCTTGGAGCCCTGAGCGAGCTAGTTGATCCTCCTCCCTAGAGATCCGATGCCTTGCTTTCCTGAATGCGAGACCCCCAGACATCTCGACCTCTCTCCCAGGATCCGCTTTTCATCCCGAGTCGTGTGTTGACGGTCCCGGGGCCCGGTAAGGGTCCCCAGAGGCCGAAAACGGCGGAAACACCGCCTTGCTGTTTTTTTGTCAGTGCATTAGAGATTTGACTCCTCCCACCTCCCCACATTGATTGACGATCTAAAACTTGTGATTTATGTGATGCCTGCTTTGCACGATCTGTTGTGAGCTTTCGCTGGTCTCGGCGGTTCGTCAGACTGGACTGGGCAACGTCAGCCATGGCTACGGCCCTCCCTCCTGCCAGCACGCGCGCGCGCAGGAGCGAAAATGGGATGGGGGAAGGGGACGCACCTGCCGACTGCGCCGCTCTCTTTTGCAGTGCCGGCGTGAGACCAAGATAATGTCTTGGTCCCCCGCCCGCCAGCCCGAACCCACCGGCGGGCGCGCAGGGTGCCGTCCCCGAACTTCGTGTGCTCCGTCCAGCCCCACGCGAAGCCCCTGATGCGCAGGCGGCAGCGCGCGCTCGCCGCGCCGCGCGGGCTCCTCCGCGGCTTGCCCCTGCCGCGCGTGCGGCCACGCCGGCCAGCGCGCCGCCCGGGTGGCGGCCTGGCCGAGGAGGAGGAGGAGAAGGATTATGATGTTGAACCTCTGCTAGGGTCTATAACAGCTGAATTATTTGTTTTAGGTGTCGCCGGCCCGTGGGGGGTGTCGACAAGGGTATCGCGGGAAGGTGTCGTCAAAGGTGTCGCCCGCAAAAGGGTGTTTATGTAAGGTGTCGAGCAGGGTATCGTGTTCTTGTGTTTTCTAAAAAGGGGTATTGGCGCAGGTGTTCGCTGTTTGGTTACTCTATCGTTTTCTTTGAGAAATCGCCCAAACATATGTTGTCTAAACGTACGCAATGATTTAGTACTCCCCATTTCGATCGGGCAACTCGTGCTGCCACAGCGTCGCGCCCCCGATCGGATACACTAGCGACGGCTCGTTGGGCCACAACGCAATCATTACAGAAGGTTGCGCCGCAACCTTCTGCAATGACAAGTTTGTGTCTGTGCCTTGGCACTCGATCTGGACTCCGCGTTGGTTAGTCCGTCTCGTCAAAATGTTCTCCTCCTCCCCTTCTCCAAATCCCCTTCGCCCCCCCCCGCCCCCCTATTCCTCCTCGTCGCCCCCCGTGCCATGCCAGTAACCGCCTTCATCGTGTTCAGTGACCTAGTCGTTTCCTCATTCACTTCCTCACCGTAGTCCTGTCCCCCCACAACCATTCGACTTCGTTTTCTTTCATGGCTCGCGTTTCGCTGAAATGTCTATATGTTGGCTAGCGTCGTCAGGTTTTGGCTTGCACATCGCATGTATGTCTAGACCTTTATCAATGTCGAGCTTGGGGGGCAACGGGGATGTCTTTGGGCAAGCGTTGGCCATCTTGGCGGCCGTCTGGGAGACTTGGGCCGTCTGGGAGGCCATCTGGAACCACCTTGGACGTTTTGACGGGTGAACGGGAGGGGGCGCGGACTAATGATGATACGCATGACGCAAAAGGACGGCGGGCGAATATATAGATGAAAAGGGGGTGGGTGCACGAAGGGCGAGGGGTCGCAGTGCCACCTCGAAGGGTGCGGGGGCGAGGGGTTTCAAAGTTTGTGCGGTTGGAAACCTATGTAAGGTCGTTCTGAGTATTGAGTCAGTAGGTGTGCTTGGTTCGAGCACCATCGATTTTTTTGATTGATTTCTGCTGATGTCCTCTCTCTGTGCGTGTGACCGCCCTGCTGAAACTCCCTGCAAACGCCAGGGAAGCTTGTCTGACACGCCGCCGAAGATTGGAGAGGCCCCGCCGTTCGCCGATAACGCTGCTGTATGTTTGTGGGATATACCGCCGTGGTGCAACCCAGTACACCCAAGCTATGATTCACGTGTGGTTGAGGCTCAGGCTGCACTCAAGTTTCGCATGAAACGTAAGAATCAGGGCCCGACAAAAAATGGTGGCAGGTCGATGAGAAGCAAACAACGGTTGGTGTGTGGTTGCCAAAGTTGAAAAAGACATCATCCTGTTGTGCAGCTAAGAGTGTTGCTTCCTCGTCCTCCTCCAGTGGAGTACGTTTCACCAACAAGGCTGCCCTTGACAATGATGTAGTAGAAGTCATTGTCATTGATTGACGCCTCGGGGCGTTTGAATGATCTTCGCCGCTTGATGGGGCAAGCGGTGTGCTGAGGCTGCCAGAAAACATAATAGCATCATTCATCCTCCTCCTCCTTGCCCCCCCCCTCCTCCCAGCCTCTCCTTTTTGGGAATGTTCTGAGCTGGAGGGGGGCAAGCTCGATTGACCTCGAGGTTTGTAAGCCGCGACCACCCTGGATCAATCCAATGCATTGTTGGAGCCATGTTGGAGCAATCCAGTGCCGTCTTGGAGCCATCCATCTTGGGGCAGTGTCTTGGACCAATGTCTTCTGGGAGCCACAGCGGGCCAATACAATGCCTTCATGGAGCCATCTTGGACAACTGTTTTGGGCCAGTGCCTTCTTGGAGCGATCTTGGGCCAATGCCATCTAGGACAAATGTCTCGGGCCAATGCCTCGAGAGTTTCCGTTTCCGTAAACTTTGGCACGAGCGTGCTTTCGTTTCGTTTGATTTCATGCCCCGAGGGCGGCCTCCAGGATCGGCTTCCTCTCGAGCGCTCTGGGATGAGGTCGTGCACGAGTTTCGTGCAGCTGCGTCGGGCGCAGCCGCTGGAGAGGGCGCTGCGCCCGCCGTCGCCGCCGCCCACGCCCGCGCCGCGAACGCCCGCCAGGCCCGCGAGGCTAAGAGTCAGCGGCGCGAGGCGGCGGCGGCGGCGGCGGCTGGCGGCGCCGGAGGCGCTGCATCGCAAGCGCTCGTGATTCGTGGTGGGCCTGTTGCGTCGCCGTGGATCTCCCCAGACGTGCGCGCCCGATGGAAGGCAGGGCATGTTCCCAGGGTGCCGTTTGTGCCCTCGCCCATGCTCGTTCACGGTTGCAAGGTTCTGGACGGTGCCATGCTGCGCAGCGTTGACCTTCATGAGGGCTTGAGTGCAGTGGCGTTTGATTTGTTCGGTGGTTCTGGCCAACATCAATCCATTGTGGCTCGCGCAGAGGCCTGGGATGTGGACCGCTACCAGCTGTGCAATGACACGAGGCCGCTGGGCGCCGCATTACTTCTTTCAGATCTGATGGCCAGGAAATCTCTCGAAGAGAGGATCGCGAGCCTCCAGTCTGACAAATGCGAATTAGTTTTTTACGCAGGGTACGATCGGTATGATGAGTCAACGATGCCCGTGACAGTCAGCAAGCCCTCGGAAGCTGATGACCTCGCGAGAGACTCTGGCATGGAGGTGGCGTGTCCCCCGGCCGTGTTGGTGAAGGCGTTATCCACGGGCCGCCGTTCTTTGAAGGTCAGTGGCAGGGCCAAGATTGTGCAGGCCAGTGTCGGGTTCGGCATGGTCGTGAGTAAGTTGGCCACGCACGCTGGCGGGGGCGACCAGTATTTCTCCATCGTCGGCGACGCCATCGCGTCTTTGCAGACGTGCGACAGAACGACGGCCGAAGTGCTCAAGCATCTGGCTTTGTCTCGGTCTGGCGCCTCATTGGGCGCGAAGCGGTTCACGGTGAAGGCCCGCGTGGTCAGCGTCGACCACTACGCTGCCAACCTCAAGGCAGAGCGGTCCATCAAGGCAGATTTGGAATGGTTATCTTTGGTCATCGGTTGCGAGGCACGCAGCGTGGGCACGATTCACACTAGGGTGATGGATCTCTTTACTTTCGATGTGAGTGGAGCGTTGCACGTTTCGCTGGCCGTGGAGTTGGCTGGCATGATGGACAAGTTCCGTGCGTCTCTGAGAGCAGTCATTATAGAGAGACTTGCGTGGCCACCCTTGCGAGGCCGTCCAAGCGCCGATGCTGAGCGCCACCGCCTCCGCTGCATACATGCCTTGACCGTCGGCTTTTCCAAGGCATCAAAGCTGCAGCAGCAAGCGTTGCTTAGGAGCATGCCGCTCGGTGATTGGAGGAAGCGCGACGTAGTGGAGGTGTGCCTGACGGGCCTCGTGGGCGAGCTCCCGTCGAAGGCGGTGCTCGCCAAGGAGGTCGCCCACTCGCTGGTGCAAGGGATCTCGTGGCACAAGTTTGCCAAGTACCCTCGGAATCGGTGGCTCGGTGGCGAGGCCGCCATTTCGCAGCCGACGCTGATCGATGCGTGCCATGGCCTCTTGAGGCCGACCTTCGAGCACTTCTGCCGCTCCGTGGGCAAGGTGAAGGGATCGCACTTGGGGGGGGAGCAGTCAGATTCGCGGGGGCAGCGCCGAGTAAAGGCTCCTCCCCCACCCCTCCCCTCCTCCACTCTCTCGCCCTATCCGTCCTCGCATTCCCTCCTCCGCTCGCCATTTTCATCGCCCTCGTCTCCGTCTCCGCCGCCCCCTTCACCCCCCCCCCTGCCCTCCCGCATGCGACTTGGGCCCGCTCCCACCGCCGCCCGCGCATCCCCCCCCCTCGCTGCTCCCCCTCATCCTCCGTCCTTCTTGTTCTTCTCATCACCATTTAACCCCTCCTCCACCCTCCCTCCTCCACTTCTTTTTGCGCTCGTCGCGGATCTGATTTTAGGGCTTCCCCCCCGAGCTGCAGCGCGCCATGATCACGGCGGCGTTCTGCTACCATTCGAAGGCGGCGCTGCCGAAGTTGGGGCGCCTCATCAGCCTGATCCTGATCAGCAGCACTGGGCGCCGCCTGGGCTGACGGCTCCGCAAGTCAACGAGTTCCACAGGGCAAAAGGCATTCAGTGGCTGGAGACCGATCCTTTCACGAATCCTGTAATCATGCGGAACCTCTTGGTCCCGCTTCAGCGCCTCCAGAGGAGGTGCGTGTACATCGGATCACCTGAATACGAACGGCGCGAGGCGGCGCGCGAGGCGAAGGCGACGGAGGAAGGCGATGGTCATGGTCATGTTGCCAGGAGCTACCCATTGACGATTGCTGCATAATGTTCTTTGGAAGGGGAGGCTTTGGTTGGCATCCGCGGCCTCCTGCATCAGCCCAGCCTGTGGTCTCTCATCCCAGAGACCGATTTCAGGGCGAAGTTCGTGGGGTCAGCATTTCGGGCGCGCAGTCGGGCCGGTGGCCTCGCCCACGCCAGGCTGCAGTTCATCCACGACAGGTTCCCCTTCAGGCTGTTCTTGTTGGTTAAGAACCCAGATCTGGCAAATTCCACGCAGCGAGAGGCTGCGTGTTCCAGGGATTCTTTCACGCAGGACTTCTGTCAGAAGTACTCCCTCGACGACCCGCGCGTGCGCTGCGTCCTGTTACTTTTGGCGCAAATGGTACGGATCACGATCGCAGACATCGAGTGCAGACACGCATCTCTGAGGAGGCTCCTGGTCAGGACCCAGGCGAAGTTCATCGAGCTTGAGAGTTTGGCTAGCAGGTGGGTTGCCCAGCGGCATCGGCGCCGCGCCGCGGACAACCGGCGCACAGGCCCCCCCTTCAGCTCAGACTTCTTGCGCCGCGCCTC